GCACGGGCTTCGATGAGATCTTCGTGCTGACACGGGCAGGATTTATCTCGCCATCTGCCTTGGCATGAGCCACCTCACCAACGACGCTCGGAATCAGACACACACACACACACGCGCGCGCGCGCACTGTTGATCGAGAGGATGATGCATCAGTCCAACAGCAAGCCATGACGTGATCGCCATAGCACGAGTCTTTTTAGACGCGTGAGCTTTTAGGAATACTTCGTCAAGAACAAGAAGGTGGGCGCCATTGCTGGAAAGGTGGCCCAAGTTTTGGCGAGCTGGACTGAGGGCATGCTGCGCGATCGTGCGTAGGTTTCTGTAATTTGAAATTTCTTAATCACTGTGAGAAATGCTGTGCATGAGGAACAGGGGGCTCAAAGCCGTACTGATGCTCGTGCAAGGCACTCCGGCACAAAAGGTCCATGGCGTTCCGAAGATTTGGCAGATGCCAATTTTGGATCAATCGTGCCTCGCACCTGGCTCCGGTTCGCACGGGGAATTTGTACAGGCAAGCAAGTTCATTGCTCATACCTGGAGCAAGATCTGGTTCCAGACCACGCACATTCTGCAAGTTCCGGCAAAGACCTGCAGCGCACATTTTTGCGATGCCATGTGTGACGCCCAGGCGTGTCAACTTTCGGTCATGTGAAGTCTTCTGAGCCGTAGTAGCGGCAGATCTGACGATGTGAACGATTGGACCAACAGATCCAGTCCAGGGCCACGCTGCCTGGATCTGGCTTCGAGGGCATGGGGTAGACATGTGCAGGCTTTGATCGCATGCCGCATGGTGTAGCTGACCATGCTATGGTCCACGGACGGGCCAGGCACCCCGTGGTGCAGATACGGCTACCACTGCCTTCGCGCCGACTGCTGGTTCTCGCATCCCGAGGTGGGAGACGGGATCAGGGATGCCCCGAATCCAAAAAGGATTGAGGGGTGCCTACACTGAGGGACTGTCTATCTGGCACTTGGCCTCTATGTGGGTTCGCTGGACGATCTTTCCACTCAATTTGGCCACCTGATCAGAGGATATTTTCCACCTAAACCTGGGCCCCAAGAATTTTTTTCCGCATGCAGCCTCAGTTTTTCCGCTACCTTTTCCGCAGCCCTCAACGTTTGCCCACGCAGTCCCGCACAGTTTTTCCGTAGCTGTTCCCGGGGTGAAGCTGCAAAGTGGCACGGGTGTCACGGCCGAAGGGGGGAGAACCCTTGTGGCATGCGATGTGGGCAAGGGTTTAGGGTTTAGGGAACACGACTCAGGGTTGGGGGTTTTGGAATCAGGGTTTAGGGTTTAGGGTGTAGTGATTTGGGTGTTTTAGGGTTTAGGGCCTAGGGTGTCGCGGGGCGCCCCGGACCTGAGCCGCGCCAGATGACGTTTGCTTCGGGGTCTGACACAGGCAGCGTCGCAGCTGCTCGCAGCTTAGAGCAGCTTTGGGGAGCTGTGGAAAAGTGGGTTTAGGGTTTAGGGGAAAGTGGTCTGTGGAACAACTTTGTGTGGACTCTGGGAAAACGGTGGAACAACCTTGGGGGTTTTTCGACGACAGTTGTGGACACATGTTCCACACCACAGCGCAAGCATGCTCACAAAGGCGGTCGACGTGGAAAACCTTGCCTCATACATGGAAAAGCCAGGCGGTGGAACTGGAAAATTGCAGGTGCAACGCATGGATCACAAGCCCTTGCAAGGGTGGCGTAGGAAGAAGGGCCAGGCATGTAGGAGGAGGATCTGCGCTCCAAGACTAAGGGAAGACGTATCGACGCTGCGGCCCGAACCGTGCCGGGCCTGTGGACGCAGCATGCTGGCGCACGGCAGAAGAATGCACAGGCTCGCCTTTGGGATGTTCTGCTGCAGACGACTTAGGGCCGGTGAAGGATGCAGGAGTTGGATGTGCTACTGCTGAATGAGGTCGTTATCCTTCGACATAGTCTGGGCAATCTGTATGTTTTGCTGCAGTTGCGGAGCTTTGCTATGCCGGCCCGAAGCCTGGTTAAGATGGGATGGACCGGCATGCATTGACAAAAGTTGCAACTCGCTGTGTTTTGTTGCAGTGGTTCAGGTTATGCCTGGTCATCTCGCAACTGTGGGTGGCATGCGTGATGCCGCGGACCGGGATAGCTCCATCACGGCGGTGAGAGAGGCTAGGCCGGCCAAGCCACAAATGTTGCCCGAGGATGTGTGCGTCACATGTCAATCTCCGGCCTCAACTTTTCCCCAGGCATTCCCAGTCCCCACATGGGAGCCACCGAAGCAACTGACGCAGCGTCAAATGCAGCAGGAATCTGCAACAGAAAGTGTCGATAAATGTGGGTGAAGACACAAATCGTTTTATGCTGCCATCCTCATGCCATCACAAGCACCTCGTGCAGCGGCTCAGGCCATAAGCACGAAGTCAACAATTGGACTGTTGAGCTTTTACTGTCATCTTGGAAACGACAGAGAAACTGTAGCACAAATGTATATCGCGGTGTCGCAGGTCTTTGAAGAATGTGGACTTCTTGATGTGGGGCTTGTGCCACAAGCACCGCACGATCTTCGACAGCATGCCCAGGGATCAGGATGGCCCGGTGGCAATCAGCATGGGCTTTGCATCACCCCGCATCTCCTGCTAGTAGGAGCTCGACAGCCCAAGCACTTCTCGAAGCAGGCTTCTGAGATGTTCCGAGGCGTGCTCTGTGTCTGTGTGTGTTACGACATCTTGTCGCCAAGGTTCGGGGAAGGCAAGGAAGTCGACTGGTGGGTTCTGCTGCTTGATGGTACCGGGACGTTCGAAAAGTCGATGGACGGAGAGACGGAGTGCGAAGACATTTCTCGAGCCCTTCCTCGCCTGCCCGGCGCGGAAGCTGCAGAGTGCTTTGGGCACGCATGGGTCCCAGCCTGGAGACTGCACGAGATTGCCGGCTTGCCGCTGATGGGTGGGCTGCTTCGGAAAGTCTCGGATGCGGTGGCAGCTGTTGCTCACATCCTTCCGTAGGCCTTCCCCGCCGGTGAAGCAGCGTGAGTGCGCCGGAGAAAAGATCGTGACGCTGGGCAGAACAGTATAGGGCAGGTTCTGCCGTGAAAAGTGGACGCACATCATGCATGCATAAGGCTGTCTGTTAACAGCTTTGGCTCTACAAGCCCATTGTTCGGTTCATTTCTCATGTCAGGGATGCCATAAATTGGCATCTTGTTTTGGGCTGGATACCAATGTTTCAAGTGGTTGCCGTCTACGTTGTCTAAGTCCAGAGTCTCAGTTCCAGCCCTACAGCCCACGCACACAGGGCCTCGTAGCTAGTCCTCCAGGGATGTCGGCAGCCAGGCGTTTCAGGGAGACGCAGACGCACCCAGCCTGCATTGTGTGTAGGGGGTCTCCAAAGCTTTAGGTATCGTAAGCTGGGTGAGGTCGAGTTGGACGCTCCAAGTTTCTGTTTCTCGGGTACTCGTTGCCTGCTGTGCTGCCCCATCCCGGTCCCACGGGAATTCCCTGCCACACTCTCCAGCGAACGGTCACAAAGTGGAGACTAGCCGAGGCCAGGAATGAGGTCTGCTGGAGCTGCTGTTTTTGCTGCTCATGTGGCATCAGAATGGCAGTGGGCGAAACCCACAAGGGCAGCAATCAGCGCCGCCATGGCGCATGAGCGCAGCGAGCTCCCCACAGAAGGCTGCGCCTTGCTCTGGAGGGTCCCATCCCAAGTTTCAACCTTCTAAAAAGCTGATGAAGCCGAGCGGGGCAAAACGCTGTGACAGCTTTGCGGTCTAAGTCTAGTCGTGAGAGATGAGAGCACTTGGCGGGCAGCCGTAAAGTATGGCAGGCTGCGGATCCAGCGGCTGCTGAAATCTTTGCGAACAGTAAGGTCGATGCAAACTTGGAGCCTTGGCTGGCCTCCTTACCGTGGGTTCTGTGACTACCGCTTTACAAGCCCTGTGTTTCAGCCCTTCAGGACGCTCTGTCGCATGCCGAGATCAAACGCTGCCTGGAGGACATTGCAGTGTGACGTTCTGAACTTTGCTAGAAAGGCCATGCGATGGAGGTCGAATGTGACGGCACTGCAGAAGCAACGGGGATTGAATGGGCCTAGTCGTCGACGACAGGATTTGCAGCAGTCAGTTGCGAAGTAGCGCCAAGTATGCATATTATGCGTGGGCAGCAGTTTTCACACTGCAACCCTACCCTTGGTTGTGGTAGTGGGCTGCCGCACTTGCCGTTGCAGCTGCAGGGAGCCTTTATTCAGCAGAAGCCGGTCTCGCTGACGCTGTGTCGGCAAACAAAGCATCACAGCTTCGAAGCATCGTTCTCGCAGGAGTATGGTGTGACTGACCACGCATCTGGCGTGAAGCTGTTCAGCTCCAAAGAGCATCTGCGAGATGTGGAAGCTCTCTTGCCGTTGGTTGGCACTTGGGCTCGCACCTTAGTAAGGCCGAAGGCCACGAACAAAGACCAAAATGCAGTACCTGACCATGACCCAGGAACAAGCCAAGAATCGACGACAGTATACGATCCGCTTGACCAAAGAAGGAAAGCTTTCATGGGAAGGCCTGCACATCACTGGCGAACCCTTGCTTGGCGAAGCTCAGCTGTACCGTCTGCCACAGCCGCAGCAATTGCTCTACTCGTGAGGTGTCTAATGAATATGTGTAGGGCTTCTGGCTTGCGGGGCGCAGGGGCTCGTCTATCTTGCAACTATGAATACAGAGCATTGAAAGAGTCAGGGTGCGGCAGGAGTCATTTTGAACAATTGCAGCACCTTGTGCTGTCACTTGTTGCCTTAAGTGCTCTACCTGTTCCGTGCGCCCAAGGCCATGTACTTCGAGGGCATGTGGATCCGCAGTGAGCTCTTCACACATGGAGAGGTCTTGATCGGTTCTGTCCGATTGCGTCATGGGCCTGACTGGAGCCTGAGAAGCACAAACATGAATTCCAATCATGAATCAGCAGAATGAGAGGGTTGGGTCCGGAGCTTGTTCGCCCCTGTTGAACACCATCAGGAACGAGCTGAGTCTCAATTTCAAGACGAGCGCCAGTGCTCATTGGGGTGTTGACCTTCGAGCGATGCGTGCAACAGCTGCAGCAAGACCACGTTCAGCTCGCAACATCCAAGAAGTTCGGAAATGCCTGCAATTGTCTGAAGCTTTATGAAACTGTGACTCCCAGATCTCGAAATCGTCTGTAGCGCGTCCATGTTGAGTGGAGGCGGAACGCACCACCGTCTTTCTTGCCAGAGCCGAGGTGCCACTTCAGAGCAGCTCATCTTTCGGCCACTGCTCAGTGATCCCTATCCTGGACGGGATGGCTGGAACTCTGGCGCTGCACAGGCACATGGCAACGCATGGGACATGGTTTCTCATGCTGGCTGTGCAGTGGCAGTGCAGGCCCTGAGCACCTCGACCCCGAGGGCAGATGACGACTTGGGTGATTTGACCGCCGATGAGCTGAAGGAGTGCTTGAAGGAGCACAGAGCCTGGGTGGGAGGTGGGACTCTGGGAGGGGCACGTTTCACGAAGTCCGAGCGGGTAGCTGCTTGGCTTCTGCCCAGACTGAGTGTCCCGAGCCCAAGCCGACGAGACTCAAGTTGTAGTGCTGTCTTCATACTTCTGCGTTGCGCTTCGGAGGAGTACGGTGTGAGTCAGCCAGGGCGATGCTGCAATCAAAAGGGGCTGCTCTTGGATGCTTGGCAGGAAGGTCAAGTGATTGCCAACTTGCGCGAAATGTATGCGACACAGATGCAGTAGGGCAACGTGTCAGCATCAATGGGTACTAGTAGTGTTAGAAGAAGAAGTAGTAGTAGTAGTAGTAGTAGTAGTAGTAGTAGTAATCATAGTAATAGTAATCGTAGTAGCAGCAGCAGCAGCAGCAGCAGCAGCAGCAGCAGCAGCAGCAGCAGCAGCAGTGACTACCACTGCTGCTGCTGCTGCTACTCTTACTACTACTACTACTACTACTACTACTACTACTGCTACTACTACTACTACTACTACTACTACTACTGCTAGCACCACCACCACCACCACCACAACTAGTGCTACTACTCCTCCCCTGCCGCTG